ATTGATACTATTGTTATGTCTTGTCTCAGGCGGCGGTAGGGGTGTCAACAGTTAAATGCGCAGAACAGAAGTGGTGACAGGAGTGCAGGGTTTTGCAAAGCGGTACATGCCCATACAGATAGCTTCTGTTTGTTCGTAAGTCTCATTTCAGACAGAGAGTGGCCCAGAGCCTTCCCCTCGTTGGCTGGGGTGAAGTGATTTGACACGGTACAAACATGTGCAGCATGCAGCTGTGATACTAGCCCCACTTCGCATTCGGTATTGTTATTGTGTATGTTATTATCGCAGAGCATACCATACCCGTCAGTGGTACCCACGTCTTCCGCTTCCTTCCCGTCGTTCTCAACACACAAATCAACTATACAGACACCACACCACTACACTCGTGATCGATTCTAAACTATTCTGAAACACTCTCCTACAGAATACCTAGACTACCATACAAACACACCTATCTTGTCAGTAGTACCCATGTCTTGCTCCTCTTCCTCCTCTTCCTCATCGCTCAGGTCATCTGCGGCCCTCTTCGGCAGAGACGGGTGCAGAGTGTGGCGCAGGTTGCGCGTCACTAGCTCTCGCAGCACGGGCGGCAGGTCTGTGGTGCTGGGCACATGCAACACATGCTCGGGCCGATTGCGGTACTGCAGTTAACGTAAACGGAATCAGATTCAGACCAAGCTACACTATGGAATGTACAAAGATGAACTGAATGTGAACGTAACGGGATCAGATTCAGACTGAGATACAATACGGAATGTACTATGGTGAACTGTTTGTTGTACTCAGATGTATGGGGACGGTGTGGTGTCTGCCGTTTGCTTCCGAGTAGAAATCAAATGCTAGACTGTCATTGCATTGCAAACGTATGAGGGAGTAGCTGAGTTCTGTACTCACCACATACACTAATAAATAAACACATATGAACGATTGAGATAAGAGCGTTAGCCTACACCACGAGCACCGAAAGGAAGGACTGGTAACGATAGCTGCAATAGTATACGGAAAACATTGCACATAACATTACCACAGCAACACGTGACACACGATATTACCACAGCCACACGTGACACATGACATTACCACAGCCACACATGACACATGACATTACCACAGCCACACGTGACACTTGACATTACCACAGCCACACGTGACACATAATATTACTACAGGCGTGTTAGCGCAGTAAGACACACCTCCAAATCAGCGGCCTGTCGTCCTTTGCGCGTGTAGGGAACCATTTGATCGGTGGGGTCGGTGTTGATCAGCTCAGACACGTCATTCAGGTTAGTGCGCATCTGCTCGGCAGACAGCACTGTTTCCTCGTCAAAGATAACACCCTGGGTTTTAGGTTTAGGGTTTTAGGGGTTTAGGTTTTGTAGGTCACACCACGCGTGCCGAAGTGCAAATGTTGGCGTTCATGTGTGGATATGCACAACTTTGTGTGCGAGGGTGTACCGGTGAGTGTGTATATGTGTAGATATCGATACATACCACATACATATATAGATGC